AGAGTAAGCCCACTAAATCAGTGGGAATTTGGTGAGTCAATTCCTTCATTAATTCTATTGATTCAAACAGGCCTACTCTAACTGCAACTTACTTTGCTAAGTGACAGGATTTCAGCTAGTATGAATTCTAAAAAGATCATTCGTGTTCTACATACTACTAGAATTAAGTAAGGGTGTTCCTTCCGAAATCTGTCCAAGTGCCACAGGGTATTTTCCCAGTAAATACACTAACAAATCCATTCAATTGTACTTTGAAAGCTAACATGCTTTGGCAGCCTCTCAGACAACCATATTTCTTGACCCTATCAAGAAAAAGGCAGGGTATGCGAATGTAACCTCCTGGGAATAGTCTGTTATTGCAACAAAAGCCATGAATTAAGCATATATAAAATGATAAAACATTTCCACAGAGAGGTGAACATGATGCATCTACCGGAAAGTTTTATAAGTTACAGTCAGGTTCAGCTTAAGGATTACATGTTAGATCTCTAATATCCTACAAGATGTTTTTCTTATAAGATTGCCTTTACATAAGTGCAATTATTCACTCTATATTAAATTCTACAACTAGCAACCCCAAACTAGCACTGCAAACTACATGCTGACCACATTCAAACATCCTGCTAGAACACAAATTATGTCAGTCCTAGTTTGTTGTTTCTGGAACAGATTGCCTCCCACGTCTCATGTAGTTCACTTCAGTCCTTATAATTAGCAACCCTGTCAGGGTGAGCAAATGAAGAGACAAGCTAGGGAAATGTCACAGTTCTGGACTTTGAAGTAACAAGCTAGACTTGAAGAAGCCAGAGTTCATATGCCAGAAAGAAACCTATGGCTTCTAACAGTGGTTTGTGACCAGGAAACAAATCACGATTTGTTTGCAGAAACAGATTTAGGCATGACAATTAGCCAAAATTCAACAAACAACAACCTGGTTTCCACTATAAGTAAATATGATAAACCAATGGTCCAATTACTACATTATTCCTGCTAAATTTTACTGTCCAAACAGAATACCACTGTTTCCACATACCAAGGATTCTAATATAGATTAAGATGAGAATGACACAGGGCTTACTAACAAAGAGGTTGGACAGGAGACTGTGCGTGCATGTTGTCTCTGTACACTGGAAACAGTCAGAGAAGCACGGAGGTGTGAGCTCTCAACTAGTTGAGTTTTGGGGAGGAAAAGATGCCCAGTATAATGCGTATCTCCAAGCACAGCCACATGTAGATGTGCAAGATGAACTAAAAGAAACAAAAACTTGAATGAATAGCACATGTACTCAAATGCACGTTAGATTTATGCCCATGGGCTTCTGTTCTGACAAGTATGTGCACAGAAACTTGCTCCTGCTTACAAATTTCATTAGTCGGGCAAACTCGGCAGGGAAGGAAATAAGAGCAACAACAACAAAGGCATCTTATCTTTCTTATTTTCCTGTTCCTTCCTTGTCCCAGTGAAATAAAATAAATTCACACTAATCTTTAAAAGTCATTTACAATAATTAGTCATAACAGTATTCTACAACAATGAATCCCAATCAGAGGATGCACTGTACAAAACAGTAATTCCCCTTTTTGTCTTACACTTGGCAATTTTAGTGCATAAACACCAGCATGTTTTTTTTTCTGTTCCTAAGCTACTATCCTACACACAGAGAAGTCCTCAACCCCAAAAGCTGTCTCCAAATTGGGAAAAATGAGTGGGGAGTGTTGGCTTGACTGCTGCTAGATACAGGTTCTCAGGGCCCTTCTAAAAACAGGCAAGGAAATCCACCTCTGGTCTTGGCCTGTGTAAATCCTCCTTTACAAAAAGAACTTCCTACAAACAGAAAGTTAGCTCCTGTTAAAAGATTTCACAAGCTAGACAATTTCCATTTCAATTGGTACAAATTATTTAACATGCAAATTCCTCTAGCTCTTGTTGTTGTTACCTGCCCTCAAGTCATCTCTGGCTTATGGGGATTCTATAATAAAGAAGTGCCCTCCAAAATGTCCTGTCTTCAACAATCTTCCTCAGCTTTTTTAAACTCAAGGCTGTGGTTACCTTTATGAAGCCAATCTATCTCATATTTGATCTTCTGCTGCCTTCAACTTGTCCTAGCATATTGTCTTTTCCAGAGAATTCTGCCTTCTCCTCATGATGTGCTCAAAACAGGCATATCAGCCTCAGTTTCAACATTTTTGCCTACAGAGATAGTTCATGTTTGATTTGCTCTATGACCCACTTGTTTGTCTTTCTGCAAATCCAAGGTATCCAGAAAACTCTCTTCCAGCGTCATACTTCAAATGAATACTTTTTCCCTTTTCAGCTTTAATATCCAGCTTTCTCACCCGTACATGGTGATAGGGATACAAGACTGTGGGTGGTCTCTGTCTCCACTGACGCATCCTTACACTTGATGGCATTTTCTAATTCCTTCACTGCTGTCTGAATCTCAGTCTTTTCCTTATTTCTTGGCTGTCATATTCATTGGGATAAATGATTAAACCAAGGTATATAAACTCTGTAATTTTTTCAATTTCTTCTTTGTCAACATTAAAGTTGTCAAGTTCTTCTATAGCCACGATTTTTATCTTCATGTTCAGCTGCAGTCCTGCTTTAGCACTTTCTTTCACTTTAATCAGAGGTAGTTTAAAGCAGTGGTCCTCAACCTTTTCTAAACTGCGGACCAGTTGGGGGAGCAGAGGGGCTCCATGCTTGTGGGTGGGTGGGGAGTGCTTGCACGCATGCGCAGATGGGCGGGGAGCGCTCACATCCACACACGGGTGGGCGGGGCACCTGTGCATGCAGGTGGGCGAGCCGGGGGGGGAGTGCGTGCAGGAGGGGAGAGAAATCTGTCTCCACAGCCCAGTCCTGCCAAGGCCACAGCCCAGTACCGGGCCATGAACAAGGAGTTGGGGACCCCTGGTTTAAAGTCAATGCAGCTTTCTGCCAGTGAGATGGTGTAATCTGTGTATCTTAAATTATTTATGTTTCACACATCAGTTTTCACTCCTCCTTCATCTGAATTTAAGCCAGATTTCCATACCATATGTTCTGCATATAGATTGAATAAACAGGGAGATAAAATGCACCCTTGTCTGACACTCTTGTGTATTGGAAACTATTCTTTTCCTCCATATTCTGTTCTTACGGTAGCTTCTTGTCTACAATACAGGTTATGTATCAGGACAATTAAACACTGAGGAACTCCCATTTTTTTCAGGACAATCTATAACTCCTTATGATCCACACAGTTAAAGGCTTTGCTGTAGTTTATAAACCACAGACTGATCTTATTCCAAAATTCTTTGGTGCGCTCCAGTAGCGAGAGAACAGTTGCACAACAATTTCAAGTGCCTAAGTAACTTTTTGGAATCCAGCTTGAACATGAGGCATTTCTCTCTCCATATAAAAGCCTTTGCTGAAAAATCTTCAAGATCACTTTGCTTGCATGCTACTCTCCCAGTAGAAAGAAGAAATCCCATCTGTCTTTCCACCTCTTACTCCACATGTTTTCCTTTGTTTTGTAATCCAAACTTTTCACAAAATGTCCTCATGGAAGGATACAGATTAAGACTTCTCAGCACTGACATGGAGATTTCCCAACCTTGTGGGGCTGGAAATCTATCTCTTGCTACTTTTAACCTTCTTTTTTCTTCTGGTAACTTCTGGACCTGCTAATAGTGAGCAATATAATTTATCTCTCTCTTTTAAGACAAGTGTCTTGAATGTTATTTCTAAAGTGCTGGCTTTGGAAGATGGGTGAACTGTAAAGGGAGACTTCTGGCTAATCCTGACCATAATTACCTGGGTTTCTGTTGCACATTTTAAGAGAATTTAAGAAGATTCCCATAACTTTGAACAGTTTTCTGATTTCTTGGTCATTATTAATTCCATTTGCACTTCTTTATTGGTACCTTCTCTATTCAAGAAAGTCTTAATATTCTGTCAGGCAAGAACAAAACAAAATGAAAAAATAAAGAAGACAAAAAATTGTGGCACTTCAAAGACTAAGAACTATATTTTAATGTGAGCTTTCCACTTAGTTCAGACACTTCTGTGATATAGCCACATTTCAGATGCTTCTGTCTTTATGGTGCCCTGTTAGTCTACAACTCCATAACATATAGTAGAACCAAGTATGCACAGCACCCTACAATGTATATTTTCACAACCAATTTTCTGTTGGCTTTAACTACAGTGAATCTCTCAGAGGGCTCCAGATATATGGCACTGTCACCAGAAATGCTCTCCATCATCCAGACTATATTCCTAATTTCACAATACACCAGTATGCCACCAGGAGAGCAGCTAGCTGCATTACAAAATACTGCCATAATATGACAAAACAACTGCAGATCATTCAAGTAACCAAACCTACACTTTCCGGAAGAAAGATTACTGTCAAATTTGAATTCAGGAAATAATTAGTAAACTGCAAAAAGCAGCCTCTAGGTCATCTGGACTTCCACTGAAAACAAATCTCCATGCAGACTTCTGACACAAAAAAAAAGGCAATACAATAAGTGTGGTCACACACAGAAGCCTCCACTATGCTTCCAATTTTATAGAGGCAGGAAAAAAATTATTTCCATGCTAGTTAGGTAGTAAACTATATCACACTTCAAGGAATGGTTAACTTGCAATATCATACATTTATAGGCCTGATACAAAGTACTCAGTAGTCCAGAATATTACAGTAATAGTCCTGACTCTCTCCTTATCCCAACATCTTCTTTTCTTGAGGAACCAGTTAAGCTATGTATTCGTGTCACTAAACTCCAGATTTTCAATAATCTAATCTTATCAAAGTATCTTCTACACTAAGGCTTGGAAAAGGTATTTCAAGAAGTTTTTCCTTACTCTGCTCTATACCATGTTTTAGACATCATCCAAGTTATCTCACGTCAAACCAACCAGGAAACATTTACTGCAAATAAAATTTATTAACAATCTGACCAATATTATGTCTGATGACTTAACATGAAGTGGTATAAAGATGTCCTCTTACCTTCATCTCCTTCTGGTGCATAGGAAGCTGTAATAATGTCGATATCAGCACAATTCATCACAATCTGGTTGGTTGCATGCTTCACCTACAAGAGATTTTCATCTTTATTACATTTATAACATTGAATACAATGCAACACAAGCAACAGTTCAACATACTGATAGTTCAGTGGTTTCACTACTGTATCTGGATGCAGAGCCAGAAGGTGGGAGTTCACTGTGCCTCCTTGACAGGGGCTGGACTTGATCCATAGGGGCCCTTCTAGCTCTGTAGTTATAAGATTACAGTGTAATGACGGGGAAAGCTGATTTTTGAATATGAATATCAAATCTCAAATAGAAAGTTCCAAAAAGTTCCAGATATACCAATCCACTTCCCGCCCTACCCAAATCTACACATTCCATTTATGACTAATGCATTCATCCAAGTTTCTATATGTCCTCAGAACTGTGCACATAAACATAAAAGAACAAAGAGAAAGTGAATGTGCATAGAGAGATAACTTCATTGATAGCCCTCAAAATCTTTTGAAAACATGGTTGTTTAGAGAAGCATTTCCATCAATGGAAATCCTTTAAAAATTTCAGCCACTAAATCAATCTTACCGCCTTTTAAATATTCAATGCTTAAATATGTAACTGTTAAATTACTGTTTATTTTATTATGTTTATATGTTGATTTTATTTTATTTTTGTAATACTATCACTGTCTGATTATGCTGTGGACCTCCCAGAATGGCCCTAGGCTAGATGGGCGGCATATCAATCAATCAATCAATCCATCAATCCATCAATCCATCAATCCATCCATCAATCAATCAATCAATCAATCAATCAATCAATCAATCAATCAATCAATAAAGCAGGACAAAATTAAATTGAAACAATTCCACTCCACTCTACTGAATCTGATATAGGCTGGTTCAGGGCAATGGATAGAAAAGTACTGTAACATTTAGATAGCAGCTCTAAGGCCCTCACCACTCATAAAAATGGATGATAGGCCCACTGAGCAAAGAGCACACTGAAGGTTGTCCAACAACTTTACAACAGTGTTACAGATTACAAAGCCATTTCTTGCACTATTTTGCACAACTCTGGGTAGGAGGTTTATTAAACAACTCTTTCACATTTCTAAATGACAATGCATGAAAGTAGAAAAATACTTAGCGCTTCTGTCATCTTTTTCAAATGATGATAAAATTAACCATAGTCGGAACATTTTTCCCATAAACTACATTTCAATATGAGAATCCAGGATATTTTCAGCAGCTTCTGACACCCTGTTGCACAGTCATTGGCCTAAAGGGAAAACATTGAATGGCAGAGAAGAAGAGCCAACTGGTATCTTAGGAATTTGGTCTCCTGCTCCAGTGTCTAGGCTGTTAGAACAACCTATGGTCACCATAAGTGTCCAGTATCTTGGTGCCAATACCCAGAAATCCAAAATACATTTTGAGCCCTCCACAAATAAGTCCCTTTACAAAAAACAAGCGATTTCTGAAAATGCCAGCTTTTCATCAATCCAGCCTCTGCTTCTACTGCTAAACTACTTACTCATATCAAGTATACCAAGAATTTGAGATTCACTCCTCAAAATTCCATTCCGTAGGTGCCTGAAATACTTTTCCAATTCAACTCAACAATTATAACATTTTCACAGCTTAAACTGTGTTTTCAGATTATTATTCTGTCACCCATGCAAACTAAAATGATGGCTATGGGTTTTTGTACAGTTGTTTATACATTAGATTCAATTACAATAAAAGCAATCCACCTGCACAGGATTCCACAATGAATTTTCAGCAGACAAGCAAGAATTTCAAAGCCTCTCCAACAAGCACTGCTGCAGAACCTGTTGTGCACTGGACCCCTTTACTGAACTACTTCCACTTCATTACCAAGGCATAGCAGCAACACACTGTGAGAAGCACAATAACCCAAATCCACCTATAAGAAAGGACATATTTATCTTTAAAAGATACAATACATCACAGAATTGAGTACACCATCTCACATTTCATAAATATTTTAGTATATTTTTCATGTGACAACACTGAAGAAATGACACTTGGCTACAATGTAAAGCACTGGGTCTACATCTTGTATAACAGTGTAAATGTGCTGTCCTCTCAAAATAACGCAACACACAGCCATTAATGTCTAAACTGCTGGCAACAAAATTGAGTACAGCCCTA